AAAACACATTTGGGGTTTACGGGGGAAAGAAGTATTTACACTGTCTCATTTTCCTTGTTGAAACCTTGGCCCCATACTCAGTGTCAGCGTCCTTAAACGGGGGTTGGCACGGTGCGTTGTTATCTGGCGCTGCCACCTCCACGCTCTGCCTTTAGCACGTTGCTTTGCCTCTTGGGTCTGCCATGTTTAACAGTAGGGTGAGGAGTCTGGAGTAGATGATACAGCCCAGCCCTGCTGTTTTGCGAATTTCTGACTTCATATTCAGATGAGGCTGGGATGCACCTAGAGCAGCATAACCAGGCGCTGCCTCCTGTCTCTTGTTGGAGCATCCCTCAGGTCTGTACCATCCTCTCAACCCTTAACCGAGCCCAGCTTTTGTCAGGAGCACAAGTGTGTACCGGGATGGCAGGAGACTTGTCTCTCGTGGACATGGTGGCCCACATTTCTGTTGGTTGTGCTGAAACAGCTCTTCTGAGACCCTCCGGCCACCTGTGCTCAAACCTGAGGCCAGTCCTACCTTTCTTCTCCTGGAATGAGTCTCAATCCATGGTACATCTTTATGACAGTCCTGTCCCCAGAAATGCATGGAAGGTTGTCAGTGAGGGGAGGTGCCTTCTGTGTCTGTGTCAGTGAACTCTGTCTGCTCACGCTGCCCTGCCATTGGCTACAAGAAAAGTGCTATTCGCCAGGCTGTGTACTTTGCACTTGTATAGGTGATGGTTGTGTGGCTCGTGTGTGGGCTTTGAGCTGAGATGGTGAAGGGGTTATAAATACCCCACTAACACTTATTCAAGGTGTCCTGGTGCCACGCAGAGTTGCTTCATGAAGGAATCAAACCTGCACACTGGTTTGGAAACAACTTGGTTTTGCTCAATCACGTTGCATGCGTGGCCCACTGCTGATCTCCAGGTGGCATTTTCATAATGGATTTTTTCCCCCACCCTGCCTTGCTTAAGCTGAAAAATAAATACATTTATTGCACCACAATTTTCTCTAGTTCTTTGTTTTCACACATCCAGTTTTTTAATTCCTTTAAAAATGATTCCGTGTTTATAATGCCTCCTAATTTCTATCATCTCTAGGACCCCAGTGGTCTGAGTCATGCACCAGAGTTCATGTCGGAACTGTTCCACCAAAAGAAACCCCTTTCCCATAATGTCTTTTGAGGAAAATACTGTTCTTTAAGACCCTAACACTAAACTGCAGAACGAAGCATGAAACATTTCGTGTAGTTAATACATGTTCATGCAAAAAGAAACTTGCTATTTTCATGAAAGAATGTTGATTTTAATAACTTTTACTAATGTGAATATTATTATTCATAATTTAAGTAACCAAATAAAACCATGGTTATTTATTGTTAAGATGCAAAACTATTTAAGTGGTCTCTTGTTTAGGAGTGGATTTCTTAGAAGACTGAAGGGTATTTAAAAGATGGAAAAATACCCATGATGACACCATCATTTATATTAACTAAATGTCAAGAACTGTGCAGGGTCTAAGATTTGACCCCTCTTGCAAGCTGGCAAATTAGCACATGACTCAGTTTTGTGGATGCTGCTGGAAGACAGAGACTCCCTCCCAGCTCAGAGACAAAGAGCTTCCTGCCAGCACAGCAGGCGGCCTGTGATTCATGCTCCTGTTGGCTCCTGAGTTCATTTCCTATTGCTGTTGTAACAAAGGACCACAAACTCAGTGGCTTAAACAACACACACTCGCTATCTCACCGTTCTAGAGTGTGGAAGTCCAAAGTCAGTGTCAGTGGGCTGAAACCCAGGTGTGGGCAGGGCTGCGCTCCACACAGAGGCCCTAGGGAGGGATGCGCTTTCCCGCCTCTCCCAGCTTTCAGAGCTTGCTCACCCTCCCTGGCCCAGGGCCCTGTGTCACTGTGGCCTCTGCTTCTGCTTTACATCTCTGCCTCTGACCATCCAGCCTCTCTCCCGTAAGGACCTTTGTGATTATATTTGCTTCCCCACAGTAGTCTCCCATCTCAGGATCCTTGACTTAATCACGTCTGCAGAGTCCCTTCTGCCAAGCAAGGTAACATATTCACAGGTTCTAAGGATTAGAACATTATTATTCTCCCACATTCTTCCTTTGGCCCCACAGATCCATGTCCATCCCACAGGCAAAATGCATGCACCTCATCCCAGCACCCTCCAGAGTCTCAATTACTACACCATCAACTCAAAGTCCAATATGTAGTCTAAGTTTTATCAGCTCAAAAGCCTAAATATTGTCATCCTGATCCTCTAAGTCAGGCATGCGTGTCCCTGGGTGTGATACTTCTCTGCTCAAAACCCTGCAGTGGCTTCTCATTTCTCTCAGTGAAGAAGCAGGAGTCCTTACAATGACCTCAAAGCTTTCCTCCCCCACCTCCAGCTGATCTCGTCTCCTGTTTTCTCCCTGACTCACTCTGCTCCAGCCACACTGGTCTCCCTGCGGTCCCTTTGCAACATCAGATGTGCGTCCACAGGACTGTTGCCCTGGCTGGTCTCTGTCCAATTCATACACTACAGAACATGACCTTGTTTGGAAATAGGGTTGTTGCAGATGTAACTGGTTAAGATGAGGTCATTAGGGTGGGCTCCAATCCAGTCCGATGTGTGTCCTTATAAAAAGGGGAAATGTGGACACAGAGACACACATAGACAGGAGATGATGTGAAGGGATGTGGAGAGAAGATGCCATCCACAAGCCAAGGAGAGAGGCCTGGACCAGCCTCTCCCTCGCAGCCCACAGAAGGAACCAACCCTGCTGAAACCTTGCCTGCTGACTCCCAGCCTCCAGAACTGGTTTGCTTCACCCAGTTTGTGGTGCTTTGGTAGACGAAGCCCTAGCAACTAGCACCCCTTCTCCGTGTCCTCAGTGAAGCCAGCTCTGGCCATCTCATTTTAAACTGGAAGCTGCCTTCCCCTTATCTCTGCCCTAGAACGCCCCCTCCCGATCATACTCTTTCTGTCACCGTGCATTTCACGTGACCGTTACGACTAGTTTATGTTCTGCTCCTCCTACCAGAATGTAAGTCCTGCAGGACACGGACCCTTATTTGTTCACTGATGGG